TTTCAAAACACGAGTGGCCACACACACGGTGATACTCAAGTCATAGATAAAAAGGTATGGGTCCTACAGTGTGTGGTGTCTGACCGGCACAAACAACACACCACACACACCTTGTAAAATCAGTCCAATACGTTGAATATCCCCAAAATATGCTTGAATTTGTTCCGGCATCCTTCCAAGCAGACCAGAAATCTCTTAACACACAAACAAAGCATGGAAATCTGATGAGATTAGATTTCATTAAAATTTTCTTACATTATCTTCTTAATTTTTGGATAATTTTTTTGATGATAATAACTAATTTTTGTATTTTCTTTCCTTTGAATTCATCGATGCATGAGTTGCTGTCACCAGATGAAGTCAGTTCTCCAAGATCTGTACGATGAAAGAAGGAATAATAAAAAAAAACACCTGTCAAATTAGATCTCAGCCAACCTAAACAGACCAGCCTGTGTGACCCCTCTGAGATGTTGCTGTGTGACCTCTGACCTAACTTTCAGTCAGTGTTTTATTAGCGGCACGATTTGGCCTGACATGTGGGGAGATGTTAGGGCTCAGCTGCCTCCTGTCTGCACCAAGGTTACGTTAATTTACTGCTAACAGGAGAGACTCGAATTTTATGGTTTAGCAGTTAGACCTCCATTTCTGATCTCAGGCTGAGAACCTGGCAAACACAAAGCTTCTGTGCTCACATGAATGCATTTAGAAGAAGAAGAAGAAGAAAATATCATTTCTATAGCGCCTCTCAAGATAAAAATCACGAGGTGCTTGGAACTGGGAATGAATGTAAAATGTTGCTCTTCCAAAATAGATTGTAGAAAAGTTTATGTTAGCTCTTGTTCTGCAGGACTGCAAAACTAATGAGGAGAGATGAAATCTTCATTACCCCCTTAACCGATGTTATTGGTGATGGCAGCTGTTGCTTGAAAAGAGATGAAAATATGCGTTTTCTCCTCCATTGCTCCTAATGAGAACTGGATAAACAGCGCTGCTGCTGCAACGTCACCTGACCCATAATGATGTAACTCAGACCACGCTCTCTTCTTCCCCCAGATTTATTGTTGTGCTGTTTAGTCTCACTTAAATTATGAAGTTTTCATTGAAACTTCATCAACATCCTAAACAGCTAACCTGAGTAAATTTAAAATTGAGTTTTTTAACAGTGAATCCATTCATCAAGGGAACAAACCCATCAAAATCAACCTGGGCCAGCGTGGAAACGTAGGTGTTCTTGTCTAATCATGAAGAATTCTGATTAACCTCAACATCTGCGAAGCTTCAGTCGATTTTGCTAGCCTCACGAAGGCCTGATTCTGCCGTACCTGTAGAATTGAGAAATGAAAGCAAAAACAGAATAAATACGTTGTTTTCCACATAATTTTAAACATATTATGGGGTCCAAGTTTAGTTTAAACTTGAATTGTTTTTCAAATAATCTATATAGCTTGGAATTTTGGTGGATATTTTTTTATTATCCCTTCATTTCACATCTTACAAGTTAGAAAGTTAACTTTGAAACGGTGAGACTCCTTCTTGAAGGCTATTTTTTAGTCTTTGTCTTTCCTTTTCATTAATATTTAACAGATTTTTATATATTAAAAACAAGTCTTTAAGTCCACAGGTCAAAAGTTCAAAATGGAATAATTGGAGGTAGGCGTTTAATCACACTATACTCACCTGATAACCACACGGGCCATCCAACTCATGGCTGGATTCTCACAGAGTTAAGCTTGTTATTTTGGAGTGCTAGAATGTTTTAGCAGGAGCAGAATATTGGTGTAAAATACCTCAAACGTGTCTCGGGTTCTTGTACCTTTCTTTTGCACATCTTGACAAGGGTCTGCTTCTGCCGTTTCTGAGCCTGAGAGCAGCTTTTCGTTGTTCTGCCAGGTTCATGCTAAGCTCTCTCTTCTCACTGTCATTCTAGTCGTAAAGTTGTAATTATCTCCAACACTTGATAAAAGCCTGGGGCTTGCTCTGTCTCTCTCCTTCAATCTGGCTTTATTGCCTTTATTATATTGCACTTAATCAGCCTTTTGCTGATTTCCCAGGTAGATTTCTGATCCATTTTTGTCTCACCCTCTTCCATCTCCTGTCCTTTTATGGTTTTTCCTTAATTTTTTTATGCTTTTGGTCCTCCTCTCCTCTCCTCTCCTCTCCTCTCCTCTCCTCTCCTCTCTCCTCTCCTCTCCTCTCCTCTCCTCTCTCCTCTCCTCTCCTCTCTCCTCTCCTCTCCTCTCCTCTCCTCTCCTCTCCCCTCTCCTCTCCTCTCCTCTCCTCTCTCCTCTCTCCTCTCCTCTCCTCTCTCCTCTCCTCTCCTCTCCTCTCCTCTCCTCTCCTCTCCTCTCCCCTCTCCTCTCCTCTCCTCTCCTCTCCTCTCCTCTCCTCTCCTCTCCTCTCTTCTCCTCTCCTCTCCTCTCCTCTCTCCTCTCCTCTCCTCTCCTCTCCCCTCTCCTCCCCTCCCCTCCCCTCCCCTCTCCTCTCCTCTCCTCTCCTCTCCTCTCCTCTCCCCTCCCCTCCCCTCTCCCCTCTCCTCTCCTCTCTCCTCTCCTCTCCTCTCCCCTCTCCTCTCCTCTCCCCTCCCCTCTCCTCTCCTCTCCCCTCTCCTCTCCTCTCCTCTCCCCTCTCCTCTCCTCTCCTCTCCTCTCCTCTCCTCTCCTCTCCTCTCCTCTCTTCTCCTCTCCTCTCCTCTCCTCTCTCCTCTCCTCTCCTCTCCTCTCCTCTCTCCTCTCCTCTCCTCTCCTCTCCTCTCCTCTCCTCTCCTCTCCTCTCCTCTCCTCTCCTCTCTCCTCTCCTCTCCTCTCCTCTCCTCTCCCCTCTCCCCTCCCCTCTCCTCTCCTCTCCTCTCCTCTCCCCTCTCCTCTCCTCTCCTCTCCTCTCCTCTCCTCTCCTCTCTTCTCCTCTCCTCTCCTCTCTCCCCTCTCCTCTCCTCTCCTCTCCCCTCTCCTCTCCTCTCCTCTCCCCTCTCCTCTCCTCTCCTCTCCTCTCCTCTCCTCTCCTCTCCTCTCCTCTCCTCTCCTCTCTTCTCCTCTCCTCTCCTCTCCTCTCCTCTCCTCTCCTCTCCCCTCTCCCCTCCCCTCTCCTCTCCTCTCCCCTCTCCTCTCCTCTCCTCTCCTCTCCCCTCTCCTCTCCTCTCCTCTCCTCTCCTCTCCTCTCCTCTCCTCTCCTCTCTTCTCCTCTCCTCTCCTCTCCTCTCTCCTCTCCTCTCCTCTCCTCTCCTCTCCCCTCTCCTCCCCTCCCCTCCCCTCCCCTCTCCTCTCCTCTCCTCTCCTCTCCTCTCCTCTCCCCTCCCCTCCCCTCTCCCCTCTCCTCTCCTCTCTCCTCTCCTCTCCTCTCCCCTCTCCTCTCCTCTCCCCTCCCCTCTCCTCTCCTCTCCCCTCCCCTCCCCTCTCCCCTCTCCTCTCCTCTCTCCTCTCCTCTCCTCTCCCCTCTCCTCTCCTCTCCCCTCCCCTCTCCTCTCCTCTCCCCTCTCCTCTCCTCTCCTCTCCTCTCCCCTCTCCTCTCCTCTCCTCCCCTCTCCTCTCCTCTCCTCTCCTCTCTTCTCCTCTCCTCTCCTCTCCTCTCCTCTCTCCTCTCCTCTCCTCTCCTCTCCTCTCTCCTCTCCTCTCTCCTCTCCTCTCTCCTCTCCTCTCCTCTCCTCTCCTCTCCTCTCCTCTCCTCTCCCCTCCCCTCCCCTCCCCTCTCCCCTCTCCTCTCCTCTCTCCTCTCCTCTCCTCTCCCCTCTCCTCTCCTCTCCCCTCCCCTCTCCTCTCCTCTCCCCTCTCCTCTCCTCTCCTCTCCCCTCTCCTCTCCTCTCCTCTCCTCTCCTCTCCTCTCCTCTCTCCTCTCCTCTCCTCTCCTCTCCTCTCCTCTCCTCTCCTCTCCTCTCCTCTCCTCTCCTCTCCCCTCTCCTCTCTCCTCTCCTCTCCTCTCCTCTCCTCTCCTCTCCTCTCCTCTCCTCTCCTCTCCTCTCCTCTCCTCTCCTCTCCTCTCTCCTCTCCTCTCCTCTCCTCTCCTCTCCTCTCTCCTCTCCTCTCCTCTCCTCTCCTCTCCTCTCCTCTCCTCTCCTCTCTCCTCTCCTCTCCTCTCCTCTCCCCTCTCCTCTCTCCTCTCCTCTCCTCTCCTCTCCTCTCCTCTCCCCTCTCCTCTCCTCTCCTCTCCTCTCCTCTCCCCTCTCCTCTCCTCTCTCCTCTCCTCTCCTCTCCTCTCTTGCTATTATTCTTCAGGCAAAGTATATTTTCAGAGAAATGAATTGTCAAAAATAGGTCAAATAACAAAATAGGCTCTTAGTCTTTTTCGGGGATTTACATTCTGCTTCTAGTTTCACTTGATGCTTGTGAAGTCTTCCACCTCCGATCTTTGCTCATTCACGAGTATCTGCTTTCATCTCAGATGGTTGCACATTCAGTCTCAGGCCTCTTCTGCTCATAGGTGCCTCCAGACCAGGAGAATTCTCTTTGATGCGTTTGCTGCATGTGCTAAAAGCCAGCACAGCCACTTTCCACAGCTCCGGGAGGTTTCTCTCACTTGTTCACTTGCAGATTGACATCTGTGTCAGAAGGGAGAAAAGTCTGGTTCTTACAGCCGCAGGAGCTCTCTGTGACATTCCCGTGTTAAAGTCTCTGCTCAGCTTCCCAATATTTAATTACATGCAATAAAGCCATTCCCTGATAAAATTAGGGCAATGTGACAAAATGTTTTTCTTGCTGTCTTTTAAACATGCTGCTTTATAAAGTACTTGATTAGGACCAGCACAGTGGGTGCCCAGCTGTGTGAGTTGAGTGTTTACATCTGTGTCTTCTAATGGGAATAAACTTGAAACGATGAGTATGATGGACCAGCTGAGACTGCAAGTAAAGATGAAATTGCCCTGATATAATGTATGTCATACTTTGTGTGTCTGTGGTTTTTATTTTATTTAGTTATTTATTTATTTGCCTTTAGGGATTATTTTTCATTATTCTTTTACTGAAATATTCTATATAAATTATCTTTTTTTGTGTCTATTGTGTATTTTCCAGGATGGTTGAATACTCTCTGGACCTGCAGAACATCAACTTCACTGCTATCAGAACCGTGAGGGTGCTGCGGCCTCTCAAAGCAATTAACAGAGTGCCAAGTAAGTCCTGCTATCCATTCACTGGGTTTCCCTACCACCAAAAATCACTTAATGGGGGTGAAGTGAAAATGAAATTGAGCCCGTTTTTCTATGTTTTGTGAAACCCAGGGGGATATCCATTCACGTTAAGTGAAATTGTAAGAGTTTTACAAAAGTATTACACATGTCAAGCTCTCCTAGCTACAAGTTAATGTTCCCACTTTATAAACTAATATAGGACGAGGAGGAAGAAGAAGACAAAATTCCCAGCAGGATATACAAAAGGCCTCTTTTAACTATTTCAGCACCATGGACAGGTACCCGTAAAGCAGCTAGCTTTGCTGGAGTAACTGGTTATGTGTTGTTATTATACCTAATTAACTCGAATCTGGTGGGTTCTGAAGTCTCTATTAGTAGAAACAACCCCAGCTTGGATAAATATAAATAATAAATAGTAAATATTTTTCTGCACGGTTTATTATACAGCACAAGACACCACCAAATGTTCTTACATAATTTTTTCTTCAACAATTGACCCCTGACATTACAAAACAAACTACTGTGTATTGTATTTGGCATTCATTAGAGCTTTTTAACAAATTCTTTTACAGTTTAGTGCTAGCTGCTTATGGTTGCCTTTTTGCTCCATGGATTTTTGCTAGTAGACATACAGTCAGGACTCATTCCGGACTGTTGGATTTGACTACCTCTGGAAGCTCATCAAGAGAATGCCAAGAGTGTGCAAAACAGTAACCAGATCAAAGGGTGGCAATTTTGAAGGAAATAGAATATAAAACATGTTTTCAGCTATTTCACATTTTCTGGTTAAGTACATAACTCCACATGTGTCCGTTCATAGTTTTGATGCCTTCAGTGAGAATCTCCCAGTGTAAATGGTCCCCCCCAAAAAAGAAAAGAAAACACATTGAATCACAAGGTGTGTCCAAACGTTTGGCCTGTACTGTGTATTGTTGATTTTGACTTTCATAAGTTTTAACTGGCTTGTTGAGATAACGGATGACAGAACGTAGACATTTGGATGACTGCCATAATATAATTCAATTCAATTGAATTCAGAAATACTTTATTAATCCCAGAGGGAAAATGATTTTTACTTGTGTTTCCTTTTATAGCATTAAAAATCCTCTAAGCTTCACAGCACTGGAAACAGAAAAGTAAAAGGTCCAAAAAATACAGTTTTTCTTAAGATGCTAGAAGAAAAAATGCCCAAAAAAGGCAAAACTTACATGTAGTTAACAGAGCTACTCCAACATGCAGCCACCCAGAGCAGCACGACTAAAATTTACTGTCCAGCATTCCCTAACAGGTCATGCTAACCCTGCTTTGTAAGCATTTGGAAAGCTCTAAATTTGACATGATTTAGTTCTTTACATGAAGTCATGCAGTTATTTCTATCAGAAATGAGCATCTTTGGCTTTTAAACCTCCAACTGAATGTTGAGAAACATGTTGGGGGAAATAACAGGAATATGGAAGATTAATGGTGGCTTACTAGCTTTGTAAAATAGTGTTGGCATAAACTGCTGCGGTTTGTCAATTCAGTTTAATTGCCGATTAATTAAGTACTTTTTTGCCCCCCAGTCAAAGAGGCCCAAGGTGCTGCACATTGTGCAGAGACAGATAAAAAACACTGTAAACACATACATAAATCACTAAAAAACTATAAAAGAATTAAATGCAATAAGACCAAAGAGCAATCAGAAAAAGAAACCACTAAAAACTCAAAAAGCATTAATGAAACTAGCAAAATGATCTAAAATAGAGCTTTAGACTGGATTTAAAAATAGGCAGAGATGTGGACTGTTTTATTGCCAATGGAAGTTGGTTTGAAGACCCATAAGCAAAAAAAAATATATATATATATATATTTTTAAAGCACGATCACCAGTTTTTGCCTGGTTATAAAGGGGTAAAAATACTTTTTTTTAAATATATCTTAAGCAGGTACTATATGAATTGTTCACAAGCTACAGGAACATGCTTAAAAGGGATCTCCTACCATCTTTATGCAGATGACATCCAACTGTACATCTCCTTTAATTCAATTCAATTCAAGTTTATTTATAAAGCACCAAATCACGACAAGAGTCGTCTCAAGGCACTTCACATAATAAACATTCCAATTCAGGTCAGTTCATTAAGCCGGTCAGAAATAATGTTTCCTATATAAGGAACCCAGCAAATTGCTTCAAGTCACTGACTAGTGTCAGCGACTATACAGCAATCCTCATACTAAGCAAGCATATAGCAACAGTGGAGAGGAAAACTCCCTTTTAACAGGAAGAAACCTCCAGAGAATCCTGGCTCAGTATAAGCAGCCATCCTCCACGACTCACTGGGGATCGAGAAGACAGAGCAGACACACACACACACACACACACACACACACACACACACACACACACACACACACACACACACACACACACACACACACACACACACACACACACACACACACACACACACACACACACACACACACATACACACACACACACACACACACACACACACACACACACAAGACAAAGTAATGTGTCTATATTGTGATTTCTTGGTAAATATTCTATTTGGTGAGAGATAAACTTTATTGTATTTATCCTAGTGGATCTATAATTAAACGTATAAACTAGTAGTAGAACATGCAACGTCAAGGAAAGCAAAACGTTATTATCAGGAGTGGGAGAATGTTTAAGTGGTTAGCAGCAGTGTGCTAGTCGATGGCCCCCTCCATGAGGCCACCACAGCTCAGCAGAACGTCATTGTAGCTTCTTCTGGGGAGAAAAACACTTAGAGAGAAAATAAAGTTAACAGCTGAAATTGCAGAAAATAATACAGTTAAAGAGCAGATTTTAGAAAAAAGTAGTCAAGTGTGAAAAGTGGTCAGTGTGTCCTCCAGCAGTCTAAGCCTATAGCAGCATAACTACAGAGATAACTCTGGATAATCTATCCTATTTAGATGGAGGCATGTTGGAGGCAGGGCAAGGGAGAGCCGTCTTTACCGACTGTACACTCCACCTCCCTCTACTCCCCCACTTGTCCAGATCTAGGCTAACATCAGATTTTAACCATAGACCCTATCAAATAAAAATGTTTTAGGCCTATTCTTAAAAGTAGACAAAGTGTCTGCCTCACGGACTAAAGCTGGGAGCTGGTTCCACAGGAGAGGAGCCTGATACCATCCTAATTTTAGATATTCTGGGAACCACCAGTAAACCTGCAGTCTGAGAGCGAAGTGCTCGGTTAGGAACATATGGAACAATCAGATCACTGATGTATGATGGAGCTTGATTATTAAGAGCTTTATATGTGAGAAGAAGGATCTTAAAATCTATTCTGAATTTAACAGCTAGCCAATGTAGGGAAGCTAAGACAGGAGAGATATGATCTCTCTTTTTAATTCTCATCAGAACTCTAGCTGCAGCATTTTGGACAAGCTGAAGACTTTTAACTACATTCTGTGGACTTCCTGAGAGTAATGGATTACAGTAATCCAGTCTTGATGTAATAAATGCATGAACTAGTTTTTCAGCATCACTCCTGGAAAGGATGCTTCTAATCTTAGCAATATTCCGAAGGTGGAAAAAGGAAATCCTACAAACCTGTTTAACGTGGGATTTGAATGACATGTCCTGGTCAAAGATAACACCAAGGTTCCTTGCTTTGTTCTCGGAGATTAATGTAATGCAATTCAGGTCAGGTGATTGACTAAGCAATTTCCTTTTCTGGATTTCTGGTCCAAAGATGAGAACTTCCATCTTGTCCTGATTTAAAAGGAAAATGTTAAGAGTCATCCAATTTTTTATGTCCTCAAGACAAGCCTGTAATCTACCCAACCGATTAGGTTCATCAGGGTTAATGGATAAATATAACTGAGTATCGTCAGCATAACAGTGGAAGTTTATCCCATGCTGTCTAATGATTTTACCAATTGGGAGCATATATATAGTAAAAAGAATTGGTCCAAGCACTGAACCCTGTGGTACTCCACAAGTAACCCTGGAGTATGAAGAAGATTTGTCATGTACATTTGCAAAATGAAATCTGTCAGACAGGTAGGATTTAAACCAGCCTAACGCTGTTCCTTTGATCCCTACAACATGTTCAAGTCTTTCTAAAAGAACATTGTGATCAACTGTGTCAAAGGCAGCACTGAGATCTGACAAGACTAGAACAGACACAAGATTCTTATCTGAGGCCATGAGAATATTATTTGTAACTCTCACTAACACAGTTTCAGTGCTGTGATACTCTCTAAAACCAGACTGAAATTCCTCAAACAGAGCATTAGTGTTTAAATGCTCACATACTTGGATGGCCACTATTTTCTCCAGGACTTTGGATAAAAATGGAAGGTTAGATATTGGTCTATAATTCATTGGGTCATCTGCATCCAGAGAAGGCTTCTTAAGTGAAGGTTTGATTACAGCAACCTTAAAATCCTGTGGTACATACCCATTTACTAAGGATAGATTGATTATATCTAGAATGGGGGCAGTAACCAAAGGAAATGCATCTTTAAATAATTTGGTTGGGATTGAATCCAAAATGCAAGTTGAAGGTTTAGATGAAGCTAATATTTTTGATAACTCTGAAAGCTCAACTGGATCAAAACGGTTCAAACACAGATGAGGTTCTACAGTCACCTCTGATGCTGCCTCACTTACTGAGGAAGAAGAAATCGCATTAGGGAGGATGCTAAAGATTTTGTTTCTAATAGAATTAATTTTACTTGTAAAAAATCCCATGAAGTCATTGCTGCTGAGGGCTAAGGGAATAGATGGCTCAGAGCTATGATTCTGTGTAAGTTTAGCAACTGTACTGAAAAGACATTTAGGATTATGCTTATTCTCCTCAATTATTGCTGAGAAATAAGCTGTTCTAGTTTGTCGAAGCTTATTTTTAAAGCACAAGACTATTTTTCCAGGCTAGGTAGGCCTCCTCATGGTACGTAGAGCGCCATGTTCACTCCAATTTCCTAGAGTTTTGTTTTAAGGC